CTCTCTCTCTCTCTCTCTCTCTCTCTCTCTCTCTCTCTCTCTCCCCCCACCTTCGCCTGAACTCTTCCCTTGCTCCGTACCCCACCCAACCTCTGCCCTCCCCTGCCCGACTTCACCCTGCTGTCTTTCCCCTTCCTCCCGGCCTCCTTCCACCTCCTCCTCTTCCTCTTCACGCTTTTTCCCTGCTCGTCTCCCCTTTACTCCTTCCCTTCCTTCATACGCCACTCAACCTCTAAACTACCTTCTGCTTTCTGTCCTCCCTCCGCCCTTCTTCTCCCTGCCGCCTCGCTTTTCTCCCGGCCTCCTCTGGACCTTCTCTTAAAACCTCCCTCTGCCCTCTCTTCGCCTGGCCACCTCACTCCCCTTCCTTTGCCCAATCTCCGCCTGACCTCCTTCCCTCTATCTCCTCCGTCCTTTCCGCCCGATTTGCACTGACCTCCTTCCCCCGATCTCCTTCCTCCCCTTCCTTCGTTGGCCCGATCTCCACCTGACCTCCTGCTTCCGCCCTACTCTCTGTCGCCTCTCCCCTACGTACTGGCCTCCTGCCCACCTTCTCTTCACCCCCCCTCATCCCCCTTCGTTCGCCCCCTTCGTTCGCCTTATCTCTGTCTGACCTCCTCCTTCCCCCGATCTCCTTCCTTCCCTTCCTTCCTCAGCCAGATCACCACCTCACCTCCCCCTTCCATTCCTCCCTCCGTCCTACTCCCTCCCTCCCCCTTCCTCCCTCGACCAACCGCCCTTCCTTCGTAATGCCCGACCTAAGAAGTGCTGCTTTTTCTTTATCCGGTGGATCTAAACGCTCCATTTCTTTTAAGATCTTAACATGGTTGCACACGTGCAAGAAGGAGAGAGGGAAAGCAGGAGAGTAAAAACGCATTTCACCTAACACACTTTCTCCTCTCTCTCTTCCTTCCTCGCACTTTGTCTGTCTCCTCACCACAAAACGTACGTCTTCTGCCTCCTCAACATTCTCCCTCGGTCTTTTCTCTTTGGAACGGCCTTATGATTAACTGCCCTGCGCCAGGTATTTCAGGCTATCGAATGTCTTTCCATATTTCACTCTCTTCCTCCCCAGTCCCACCACACTGAGTCAACTCTCTCTCTCTCTCTCTCTCTCTCTCTCTCTCTCTCTCTCTCTCTCTCTCTCTCTCTCTCTCTCTCTCTCTCTCTCTCTCTCCACACACGTTCCCTGTGTGTGTTTGTGTGCGACCGCACGAGAGCACACGCTCGCCCTTATTCACATTGAAAAATAACAATGTGGCGCTAAGCGTTAACGCAAATTGAGAAAGATAAGAAAAGCGGAATGCACTCTCTATATCGTCCCCATATAAGGGAGCAAGAAGAGAAGGAGGACGGAGAGCCGAGGAAGGTAACGCCACTGGAGGAAGGAGGGAGAAAGTGAGTGAGGGAAGCAGGAAGGAGAAAGGGAGGAAGGAGGGAGGGCCGATGGAGCAGGGGTGAGGGAGGGAGGAGAGAGGGTCAAGGCAGGAATGGAGGACGGGCCGAGGGAGGAGGGGTGGTGATGGTGCCTCTGCTGCCTCTGCTGCCTCTCTCTCTCTCTCTCTCTCTCTCTCTCTCTCTCAATAGCCTGACCCGCTTGCCCACAGTGAGGTGTGGGGTCGAGGTGAAGTAGAAACACTCTCTAGCGGGAATCCACGACGAAGCTCACGTCGTCGGAGCACTTAGCAGGAACTCACGATCCACGCAGCACCGATTCACGAAACCACCAACTCACAGCACCGGATCCACCACGAACCCACGATGCACCAAACACTGAATCCACGAAGTGGCAAGGACGAAGCACGAAGCATGAAGCACAAAATCCACAATGGACGAAGCACGAAGCATGAATCACAGAATCCACAATGGACGAAGCACGAAGCATGGAGCACAAAATCCACGATGGACGAAGCACGAAGCATGAAGCATGAAGCACAAAATCCACAATGCTTCACGGAAGCACCAAGCACGTAGAGCACCAACGCACGTAGAGCACACACACACACACACACACACACACAGAGAGAGAGAGAGAGAGAGAGAGAGAGAGAGAGAGAGAGAGAGAGAGAGAGAGAGAGAGAGAG